AGGCTTTACCTTCAGTTCGGAAAGAGCTTCTCTGCATTCTTCAAGCCACCGTGAAGACGCACCGGAATGACTGCAATGCCAAACTCTGTAAAACAAATACTTTGAGTTAAACTTTTGCTTTTTTTTCCTCAACATTTTCTCCATAACAATGATTTAATCGTTTGGTTCAGTCACAACTTTAAACTGGTGAGAACCCAAACATCGACCGTTTGGTTCAGTCACAACTTTAAACTGAACCCAAACATCGACCTGCTGTCATTTCTCTTTCTGTTCCAACAACATATATAAATATAACAAAATATGGTCATTTCGTCATGTCATACAACTCTTGATTTGTCTTGATTAATAATAATAGTGATTCATTTCTCATCTCTAACTTTAACACCTCTAAGCTGCACTGTTGTAAGCTGATAGTGTGTTATGGAACTTTTGGAGTAAAGACAGCATAAACCCCCCCGGGGATAAAAGTGTAGACTTCAAATGATAACAACCTGAAGACGCAGGAGGAGACGAGACCCCGGCTCCTGTGTCCAACGGTGACACCGAGGCCGACGTTCTGCAAGAAGCTGCGGCAGGTGGTAAGTGTGGACACACGACTGCATCGCTGGAGGACAGAAGGCCAGGACAGGAGCGGGTGTTGCTGCGAGATAAGAAAAGAGGGAGTAAAAGATGGAGGGCTTTTTTTACCCAGGGTGGAGGAGGCAGCCATGAATTGACAATTCAGAAGAGCAGATTGACATTTAACTGGATTAAAGAAGTGAAGCCGTCTGCCACAAACCACATACGTCTGCTCCACTTCAGGACGGTGAAAAAGAGACTGGATTTAATATCAGTTCATTAAAGTCCTGGAGTTAAGAATTACTTAGTGATGAATGTCTTTCACATTCAGTCATTCATCGAGTGCTGAAATATTCTATCAACCCATTTTAATGATTACTGCAAATTTTTTTAACAGGCTTATTTCACTTTAAAATGTCACTATCCCTTTGCCATTGTTTGCTTTTGTCTGACTTTTTTTTTTATTTTGACAATTTCTGCTTTTCCGATCGCACCATTTACATGATTTTTATTCTGTTTTTGCTGAAGTAAAAATTACAAATTTCTTTCATTTGACTGTTTGACTTTCACTATGAGTCATTTCCATTAAACATTTACCCGCCTTTCACACAAGCTCATAGTAATAACGTAACATTTTTTGGATATTTCAAGGTGTACTTCTAAAATGTCATTTTCAAGTATTTGTTGTGTACCGTATGTTAAGTTTGGTGCCAACATTTATGGTTCACTGCGTTGTCATTTGTCTCGCAGTCACCATTTTCTTATGGTTGCATTTAAAATGACATAAAAAAGTCATGCATTAAGGCTAAAATGCTTTTAGCCTTCTCTCGCCATCTATTGGGAAAACATGGGCATTGGAGTGAAAAGCCCGAAGTATAATTACAATACAAACCAATTATATAATTTGGACAAGTCTTGTGATCCGGATTACAAAGCAAAACGGGCTGCATCCGGCCCGCGGGCCTTAGTTTGCCAATGCTTGCGTAATCAATTTCTTTACAATTAATTACTTTATCTTTTTGAGTCTTACTTTAAGTCAGATTTTTGTCATGTGATTCCTGTGCACTTAAATTATAGACTGTATTTTTCATTAACCAGAAGGCTTGTCGTGGTCAATATTCGGTCAGAAGGCATTTTTTGCATTTCACACTGAGGGCATTAAAGCCCCTTGGAAACTAAGGAATTCTTTCACTCACTGGTGCATTCACTGACTCCCTCAACTTTGTATCCCCCACATCTGTTGCTCATTATCGGCATCCCGTCTCGTCCCGTCTTGTAGCTGCACCGCTGACACATGTAAACACGTCCGAAGATTACAGCAAAACACAATTTGCCTGATTCAATAAAGAGCCTCGGTGACGGCTCCTGTTCTCTTACAGATCCTCCACCAGGCAACGTCTCACGCTCTAATTGTTGTTGACACAGCTTTGATTCACCTGCCTCCTCCGACGCTGCGGAAGGCGACTAATAATCGACACTTCTGTGCAAACTATTTGCTGACAACAGGCTCTCTCTGTGATCTGCTGCTTAGGTCTGCCGGGCATCGTTTCAAGCATGACAGTTTCACAAACAGAGATGAGAAGTGGAAAAAAAAGAAAGAAACAGTTAAATGCAGTGCAACAAATACCCCGTTGCTGATACCCCGTTGATATGTCTACGCTTTGAAGTACGACTAGGACTGATAAAATCCATTGCAAAAAACCTTCTTGTCTATGGCAGCTACCACACTCCAACTTTATTTCACCTACAACCCAAGAGCGAGGGTTGTAGGTGGTAACACCACAAGTATTGCCACCTATGCAGGGCAGTCCTTGTTCCAATAGAGTCTGATAAAGCTCAGAAATGTCTAAATACTTGAGACACGTTGTTTTTAATATCTATCGCAATCCAGACGACTTTTCGACAGGGCTTTGAAAACTTTACGCACCCTCGTCAGGTCGTGGAGGACAACAAGGCAAATAAGGAGAGAAGTCGTCGGCGGGAGGGACATTACAACTGACGATGGATCGTTAGTGACAAAAAAAGACACAGGAAGGACATAGATCTAAAAGACAAAGTGGTGGACGGAGTCCATGAGTCAGCTGACAGCACAGACAGGAGTCTTAATTGCCCTCGGAGCATATTTCTTATTCCAGACTCCTGTAATTGGACATGAAGACTGGTGATGAATTGCTCGGGCCGTCTTTGATTTGGCCGTTGCCGAGAAGAGCGTGGCACTCGGAATTAAGACGGGCATAAGGGAGGACAGCTATGGGTGTTTGTTTGTTTTTTTTTTTTTTTTGTGGTGTTTTTCTTTTTTCAAGCCTTCTGCTTCATCCCCACACGTGTGTGTGTGTGTGTGTGTGCTGTATATTCCTGATGACTTAATGACTCCAGACTCTCTAACATGTGCTACAGTCATTTGTGCCTCATACATTTTTTATTTATGCCAAGTTTTCCTAAGGCAGAAAAAAAGTAATGTTTTATAATTTAAAAAGGAATCTGGATTTCTTCATTAGCTTCGCTTTCATGTTTAACTTAGTTATGTTTGCTTTCCAAATGTTCCCCTTATTCAATCAGACAATAAAAGCAAGAGGCAGAGAAACTAGAAAAAACTATCACTTTAGTTTATTTATTTTTTCTATTTAAGGGGCTACGTTTTACTTTGGATTTTTACCTATTTTTGCCAGATTGATTTATTTAGACTAACATTAAGCTTTCTATAAATAGATGTATACGCCGCACAAACACTATTGAAACAATGTTGTCTTCACGTACCTTGGCCTCCTTTTACTTTAAACGTTTGGCAAAGGTTAGCTACTTTAGCCTTAAGCTACCTTTCGAAATGACCTTTGACTGACGTATAGCTAAATATACGACCTTTCTCCTATTTTGACACACCATTTTTTGTATTTCTGCTGACAGTAATGACTTACATTTCTAGTAACAATTATCATCTTTTTTGGTCTTTCGTAAACACTTATTTTAAGTGACATAATTTAAAAAAAAAAAAAAACAATTTTGTGGACTTACCACTGGGACCCTCCTTAGCAAATAATCTGCCTCCATCTCTCCAACGGCTACTGCATTAACCCATCTTCATGTTGTCCATAAATCCACTACGGGGTTCTTGCTTCTCCATCTCCAGAATCACTTCGCCAAGATATTTGATCTACGTCCAGATGATCTCGACCTTTTCTTTTTCTCGAGCTCGATCTTCTGTTCACAGCTGCATCTGTTGGATTTAACTAGGAACAAATTCATGTTGACAATGACTCACATGGTTTTTCCTTATGATGCTTTTTATCAAACAATTCAACTTTTCTCAAATGACTCTTTCCAAGATACGTCTGATAGTTTTATGCCTTCACATATTTACCTGTCTAATAAATGCCACTGAGACTCTGTCTGAGTCTCTGCGCCTTCATGTATAATTTTCCTTGTTTTTTTTTCCTTTTGACATTTTTACACTTACATACAATGACATTTTCTGATACTTTATGGCTTACTAAAAAAAGACAATTTGAACTTTTCGCTTTTCCCTCCAGACTGAAGCATCTTTGTCTTCCTAGACGCTAGAGGTTTGACACTTTTATGTCAAACTGTATCAGAAATTACAGTATTTATAAGGAACCACTCTTCCTTCTTACCTGTAATGCACCTACTTTGAAAATGGTCCGAGCTTCCAAACCTTTGAGCCCTGCTTTAATCTGACATTTTTAACAGGTGAAAAAGGTACAATTTCAAATCGGTACTCGATCAGACAGAGGGCTTTGACTTTCACACTTAGGAAACACCTTAAAAATGTTCCATCACCTCATGGAAATTTTAAAACCCAAGAGCTTTCCTCTTGAATATCATGGCAGGGTTTTTATTATATAATTAAAATTGGCTCCACGGTAGGGAATGCTTGCGTAAATGTAACTCAAACCCCATTTTAACCGATGACTGTAAACGCAAATCTGCAATTAAAATTATGTCAAGGAAAAAAATTTAAAACTAAATTTTTTAACCCCACTTTAGCCTAAGGAAATATTATTTTATTTATCATAATATAAATAAATAAATAAAATTGTAATAGACAAAAATAGTAAAAGTAACACCATATTTACCTACTTTTATAGCCTTTGGACTTTAAATATATTTCCTCAGACTTTCAAAATATAAAGTTTGAATAAAACTTAAAACTTTTTTTTTGAGGAAAACTTAAAACCTTGGATTCAGCAATCCACCAGAGTATTTTTGTGTTTCTGCAAAAACAGACAACAGATGATGATAAACTAGTTTAAAACGAAGGAAAATCTTTTCAATTTTAAATTTCATGTTCGATAAATATTTACTCCAGCTCAGAAATGCTAATTCGACTGCGAGGTCCAAGCACTAGTGCTTCTCTTAGGGCAAAAATCTGTCAGTCAAAAAAAAAAAGAAAAAAAAAAAGAAGAAGATGGAACTGAAAATATGCAGTTTGCTTTTTTTTTATTCAGCAGATTCCATTAGAATGCAAAGACCCATTAAGTGGAAATAAATTCAAACACTGTTTCTGCTGTGGCGTCAAAGTCAGAGAGACGTAGTAGAGAGAAAGAGAGAGATAAAGAGAGAGACGGTCAGAGACTGGATCAGAACCATCGTCAGAATGTAAACTTCACAGGAAGATGAGAAGAATGCCACTCAGGTGTTGGCATTTCATATTTTCACTGGTCATTAAGACGACAAAAACACTCCTCACAAAATGTCATGGTTGCACAGATTTGACACCAACGACAAAAATAAACTGGTCCTTTTGTTTTCTCTTCCTTTTCAGTTTTTCCTGTCCAAAATAAATCATTTACACTCGTTTGTTTGTTTTTGGTTCTTCTGAAGATTTCTTCACATTTACATGAAATTCATCTGGGAAGCATCTGTTTGAGAGAATAAACGATCAGTCCGTGTCGGAGGCGAAGGAAGGGGAAAGAAGACGATTGGCTCACAGTACGTACATGTTTGACATGGGAAGTCTGCTGAAGGATTAACATGGCAAAGAACACAGACTGGCAACAAAGACAGTGCAGGCAGTGGGCCATCAAGAAGAGAGAGGATGAATGGAAGGAGTTTGTTACATGATTTCTCTACTTTTGATCTGGGGTTTTTGTAGAGCCCGATTTCCAAAGAAAAAAAAAGAAGACAAAGCAGAACATGGAGGTCAGGACCAGAGGGATGTCATGTCAAATAAAAAAGGAAGAGTGAGTCAATGCTTGTCGTTAAGTTTTCCCCTCAATTTTTTTTTTTTTTTTGTTTTTTCGAAATATTCTTCTGTCCAAACCGTCACTCGATGACTGTGTTGGTCTTTGGAATGGTGTTGATTGGATGGTCGGTTTTCTCTTTTTTCCTACTTTCCGTGTTTTTTGTTTTGTTTTTTCTTCTCTGATTATTTTTTAGCGTCTGTAGCCGAACTCGTCTGCGTCATCGGCCCGGAAGTCTCCGTAACGCCAGATGTTGAGCTGAAGGGGGAGACAGAGGTTAGTCTTGACACCAAAACAAATCTGGACAGGTAAACCTCATTCACACATAGGTCATAGTCCATAGTCCACTGAATATTCACACTGGCACTAAATACGAATCTAGAGATTAACGACAACAACACAGTTTACACAACGCCACTACAGCTCAGGTCACGTGATAGGAACGTTCATACGATGATAGCGCGATGACAAAGGCAGAGATGGTACTTATATATTTGATTTATTTTTAACAGCTACATGTTTGCAAGTACTTACTAACTACTTTCTAAACTATACTTTCTAAATTAGCAAACAATTTGCACATGAACCACACCCACTTTAAATCCAAACATATCACACGAAAGTTATTGGATGCCACGCAACGTTAATGTCAACATTTAAAATACTCACCAATGTACTCATTAATTTCATTTAAATAATAAAGGTAAAAGTTTAATTACATGAGAGGAGTTACTTCTCCGACGGCACCTTGAATAAAGATGTGACGTTCAAAGACAAAGTAACTGTCGTGGTAGAAACCTCAGCATCACCATCGCTAACATCTATTCCGACTCCATGACTTCTCTGCTGTTATAGCATCGCTCATCGCTAGCATCGTAAACTGTCACATGTAGCTCCGGGCTAAGGTGACAACTTCATCGCAGCGAGATCGCGGCAGTGTGAGAGCACGCCACGAGCAGCCACTTATTTAAATGGGATATTATTCTACCCTGCAAAGTGTGTGTGTGTGTTTCTCATGCATCTTAGAGGTGTGGGCGCTTAGCTGTTAATACTGTGATTCATAGCTTATTAGCGCCTAAGCTAATTAGCGTGTCTTATTAGGATGGATGAAGGAAAGGTGCCGTTTGTACACTGACACTGGGTTAGGAATTGAACACAGCTCTTCTTTTCCCACCATTCATTAAAACCATTACTGACATATCTGACAGCAGCTGCTGAAGTTACCTTCTCAGATATACTCCACTGATGATGTCTGTCTGTCATTTTTCTAACTTTTCTTTTAGCAACTTGCAGCTTTGTCTGTGCCTGATTTTGATTCATTGATTTTACTTTACAAACAACATTGTGTTCTTTAACATACAGTACATTTATCTTTGCACTTTTGTATAAATTACTAACATACTTTTTGCTATCTTGGTTAAAATGAATTGAATTTTCTGTTGCTAATCATTTAGTGTCACTGCTGTTGCCAGTACGATTTTTATGGTATGTTGCTACAGATTTCTTTATACTTGAGGTTAAATGTGACAAAGTGACAATTCAATTGGAGCCTTACATGGGATGTCCATTGATTCCCTATTGTTTGTGATTGTATTATTAATAATAAGTAGTAGAAACTTCTATAAATGCTTTCACCTATTATTAGTATTTAGTTGTTAAACACTGGTATTTGTCAATCAGGTCAAATAACAGTGTGTTTTTTCTTCCTAACACGGTGAAAGCATATCCTTTCAACATTATATTTACATTTCTCAAACTGATTCTTTCGTCCGTGGCTTATGTTCCGCAGCACTAATGAGAACCACTTCACATTCTTCCATCCTAATGCAGGGATGTGTTGGTCTGTGCTCATTAATGCCCTTTGTAATGACTTTCCGGAAAAACCAACAGAGCAAACGACGAGGCGCGCGCAGACATCGGGACACGACAGAGGAGCTGGGAGAGTAAGACAACGACTTACTCTGGCACTCTTGGCAGATTCTTGACTGTTCAGGTACTCCGTCACCTGTGGCACACACACAGAGGAGACATCGTTAGCATATCACAAATCACTGTCACAGGCAGGATTAACCTGCAGACATTTCTCTGACACACTTACATGAAAACTCAACTTCTTCGCTCAACTTTTCCCCCCCTCTAGAGGTGACACCGGTTCAGGCTTATAATATGATGGAAACACAGTGCTCTGAAGTCAAACCATCAAGGTAACATACAGAAGCGCTCACGTCTCTGTGGGGAATATGTTCAAGTGTTTACTGTTGGTCCTGTCAGGGTCACTGCTTATCCAGTGTGTGCAGGGCACGGTTCTTTATTGGTTCTAAATCATTTGCTCCCAATTCATCTGTAGGTTAACACCTCACAAAAAACTTTCTGGTTCCTGTCAGTCACATTATGTGAGCCAGCTTCTTAAAAAAAAAAACAGAAAGTGTTTTTTGCAGCAGTACAGTTCCCCATGAAAGGCTGTAAATGGAGGTACTTCAACGTATTAATACATGTTTCTGCAATTGATTAATATTTTGATATTACAAATATTATATATTAATGTGGAATTAAAAAAATAATTTATCAGGTCAAAAAATGCAGCAGTATGAACTTCATTAAAAGGCAACAGTTTTTAAGATCCAGCCGCCCACACAAAATGACTTGGCGGGCCACATTTGGCCCTCGGGCCTTAAGTTTGATCTAGAAGAAAAATATTACCAGGTGTCAATTTATACTTTATACCTAGTTGCATATAAAGATAAGTTTATATACTACACATTATTGGACAATAATAAATGTTTGATATATTTATATTTAATACACCATTTTATTATATTTTAAGTACTTTTGTGAAATCCTCAGGTAAAAAAAAGTTTGTTGTTTTTTTGCATTCTTTGGTATTTTATTTTTCTTTTCATTTTCTGCATTAAAATAATATAATAATATTAAATGTTTCTGGACATTTTCATATTTTTCCCTTTTATCAAAATTGTTTGGTCAGTAAAATAACAGATAAACATGGACATATTAAGGCATTATAAGTTCAAAAGGTATATTCTAAACACATTTTTGATGTTGTAAAATACAATTTTGTTGGCATTTGGATGACTACTTTTACACCCGGCTGGGTTTAAGTTTTTATTTTTATCTTTAAAAGTCTCAACTTCATCAAGTTCAGAGACTTGATGAAGTCAAGCAGAGACAAACACATGCCCGTCTAAGCCGCCGCCGCCGCCACCACTGTGCAGAACAGTTAGACCGGAGCTATTTATGCTAATTTGACATTCTGGGTTTTTTTTCCTGGGTTGAAAATAAAGCAGCGTTGAGTGATTTAGGACGTCTGCATTCATTCTAAACCGACATTTTCGCGGCCACTCAGCTGAGCCTGTGGCTGAGAGGTCGTTTCATCACAGGTCGCCTTTTTTAAAGGAGCCTTTCTTCTGGTTGGCTAAAGGTGCCTTAGTCTGCTGAGGTGCAGCAAAATCAGTTATCGTGAGACTCGGGCACAGTGTATGCTGCGGAATGTGACATGTCGGAAATACTCCTCAAGTCCATGGTTTGATGGAAAACAAACTGAGCTGGAGGCGAGTGACCTCGTGTTCAAAGACGAGGAAAGTGTCACAATTTTGACGCAGGAACTGACTCATGTAGTCCGCTTCCACATAAGCTTTTCCTGAAGAAACTGATTTGCAGCACTGAGCATATTGAGTGTTTCTGCTAGAACAGCCATTTAGCCTGAATGGACTGGAGATGAGTCATGAGTGCTTCGACGGAGAGGGTTGATGAAAGTCAGCAGAAGGAAAGACAAAGACAGAGAGTGGTTTGGTGCGTTCACATTAAGTGGCTGTTTGAACCTTGGGACGCTCCAGTGATGGACCTTCAAGGGAAGGTTGTCTGCCACCATTATAATATTAGAGCAGATACAGACTGATCAAAAACCGCTCAAGGTCCAGCTCCAGTCAAACCAGCTTTTTCATTTTTTTTTCATTTTCTCACGATTCAAGCTCTCAGTTGCTGATTGTACAAAACAAACCCCTCCTGTAAATGCACTTATTTTAAAAAAACAAGACAATCTAAAGATTATCAGGATGAATAAGGAAGTCCAGCACCTCCTACTGAAACAAGTTGACTATTGCAATGACAGTGGATCCACTTTAATCTTAGTTAATTTTACCAGTCAGGCTTAGCTTCAAAGCTAAACTGAGGTTCTGCAATACAGAACAACGGCCCCTCAGTATCAGTTCCATCTGTCTGTTCTATATATCAGGGGATGGCACAGCAGGAAGCCAGACTGTGTACAACAACCACAAAACCTACTTATACAAACTCTTGGAATCTAAGACCTGACTGTAACCACGTGACACGACAGCCGTAACAAAATTCTTTTAGCAAATACCGTTCACAAGACACACAAGGTTTGTTTCAAGAAGAAGTCATCACACTTTTGTACTGGCTTCAATTGTGCATCACATTCTGTGGCTTTTTTTAGCAGCAGATGAGCTGGCATTTATACCCAAGCACACACACACACACACACACACACACACACAACCCAGAACAAGGGTGCCAGATGTTAAAAACTGTCGAGTGGGGATTGGGCTCTGGAGTTTAAAAGCTCGTGCACGACGGCCGTCTTGATAGCTACGTTTGCACACGGCACTGGTGAGATAACAGACCTGCAGGTGGAAAATACTGTACAACGGCTAACCATCAACGCTAAATGAAGGAGAAATTTTCTGGAAATCTTCGGAATCTGGTGTCTGTCACCACATGGACGAGCGGCCCAACAATACTTCCCAGACAAAGGGCCGGGGATGCTGCTGGGGACTCTGAGGGGAGCGACCAGGGGCTGGGGCAGATTTTTTGGTGCAGCTTCTTTAAACTCAAAGGGAAGTTGACATCACATGGTAGAGAGTTCTATTGCACATCACACGTAGGTTTGTGAGAGAACATTTTAGAATGAAAAAATGAGATAACTGGAAAGTTTTAGGCAACACTTTTCACTCCCCACTTTTCTGAGCGCCACATGGCTGTGTCAGAGAATCACACGTGGCATCGAGAAAAGGCAGAAAGTCAAGAGCACTACAGTACAATGTGCACAGATGATGGCTGCCATGTTGGAGCTATTACGGTGAGCCTCTTTGTACTCTGTATGGTAGGGCGCCTTTCAAAGCGTACTCTCATCCTCCACTGTTCTACTCACTTCAACTCAGCGTAACACAACTGCCAATCAGTCTGCAGCTGAACACCAGCGATGACTGCCTTCGAATTCTGAACAGCCCCACGTATCCTGTCCCGGAACCTTCTTTTCACTGCTTTTCAATTGGCTCCAGTAGCGAGGCATAATGGCTCGTTTATGACACAAACAGGAGCGCGAGTCTTGTGGAGATGACTCAAAGTGTCGCAGGAGCCGAACGGTTCACGGTGCGGCGCTGTGACAGAGTAAAGGTGTGGAGCGGGGAAGTCAGGAGACTCTGCGTGAGAGCCAAGCCAAGATTTTTTTCTCAGTCAGGAGACTCTGCGTGAGAGCCAAGGAGATGAAAAGAACTTTTTCTCTTTTTTTTGGTGTAAATAAGCTGTTTTATTATTATGATAATATATAAATGTTATAATAGTTTTCCTATTATAAAAATATAAAACAATAACTTTATAATTACAATATATTATTAGTAGTAGTACTGATATTATACATGTATACGTACGTATATAGTTTTGTAACTAAAACGTGACAAATTCATGTTGTACCAAGTGATCTGTTTTCCCCCTTCTTTGTTTTATTTCACAAGCTTTAATTTTTGAGTCACTGTCATGAAGCCAATGAACAACTGCACTGAGGCATTGTTTCACTGACAAGTTAATCTTTCTTAAACATTCTTATTCTCAACTGTTTTTCAATGTTTTCAGCCCCTTTCCTGGATGCTAACTCTAAGCCTGGATAACGAACTAAAACTGACAGATGACTGAGCGGATGAAAGAAAGAGAGAATTCTGTTTGAAGAGGCAAAACCAGGAGGCAGCAGGTGATGCCGTGAGTTTCTGGATGACCCTCCAGAGCTCCCATATGTCTGACAGATGCCGTGTTCGGTCAACAGTGGCCTCAGACACCTGCAGTAATAGAATTAGTGACGTGCTCTGCGGGCGAGGGAGTACACTGCACACTTGTTCTGCAACTCCGTTTCAGTAAAGTTGATCAATTCTAATGCAGTACTGTGAGAAAGAAAAAGAAAAAGCATGTTTCTTTTCTTTCTCCGAGTCCATGCAGGTAAGTTTTCTTGTAAGACTTTGGTGACAAACCAGATCCAAGTCTTCTGCTAGAATGAATGACAGGTGGTGTGACTCTGCTAATTTTGTGTAGTGACCAGTGTGTCTGCCCGGGAAAGAGGCTGTCTGCTCATGAGTGGGAGAGACTGAGATTTTCCCTTCGTTGGCTGTCACTCCAAGCCCAGTTGGTGTTCTGGTTAAGCATGGTGTGAAAGGGACAGATCTGAGCAGGCGCAAACATCACATTTTTTTGGTGGCAGGTTGTGCACGTCTGGTGCGTAGGTGAGGTGACACTTTTTTGATTTCACAGCATGCGAGAATTCAGGCTGACACCAGAGCTTTGGACGGTATGCATGAGAAACAAGTGACTAATCAAAGTTTCATTGCTGTTGTGCTTTCTTGTGGCACCTGCTTGGGAGATAAACCACCAAAAGGGCATGGGGGGGACAAAGAGGCTCAGTCCGACCTTTACGCCCAGATACCAACAGTCTTCCCTAGGTGCAGTCTACTTTTATGTCCTAATTTTCCTTCTATTTCTAGTTCACACAATAAGTCAAACTATCACGCAATGATTTTCTTAAAGTCTGTCAACAGATTTTTGAACACTTTAAATACTTAGAAAGACATTCATGTCAATATAAGACTGGTTGGAAATGCCACAATCGGGCTTAAAAGCACAGATGTAAAACTTTGCTTCCCCTCACCCCCCCCACAAGCACATAAGTGTAAGATGAGGCCTCTGCTTTTTCCATTACACCCAATT